CTCGGTGACCGATTTAAAGCAGCTGGTGAATACAATGTCAAGCACGCGCATTGGGGATCTCGACTTACCAACCCGAAAGGAAGAATAATACCACTACGAAAAAAAAAACTATCTCTCCGGGCAAACCTACATATTGGTCCACAGATCCAAACAAGCAACCCAACTTAATTGATTTTGCAGTTACACAAAGGGTGCTGCAAGCTCAGATTAATGTAGATCACTTAACAGATCTATCATCGGATCACTCGCCCATTCTACTTTACCTTTACGACCATCCACAGCTTTCAGAACGCCCACACTTTCTAACTTCTAGCAAAACAGATTGGCTCAAACACAGAAAGTACATAAGCTCTCATATTGATAGCTGCACAAACATTAATTGTAAAGATGACATTGATAGGTCAGTCGAAGCATTGGTATCCTCAATGTCACTGGCGGCAAAACACTCAACACCAATATTAGCATCTAATAAACTTTCCAACAGCAGTCGTACTTCTAGGCACATTGAAGTGCTGCTACGCGATAAAAGAAGGCTTCGCCGAGAGTGGCAAGCACACAGATCACCTGCCTCGAAAGAGCGGCTAAAAATAGCCAACCTCCTACTACGCAGAGCCCTAGAAGATGAAAATAACCGAGCTCAAATATCCTATATGGAGCAATTCTCCCCAACTATCAACCGATTCCCACTATGGAAAGCAAAATCAGGCGTATGCCCACCAATTGAGAGTGAATCACCTTTGCGTACACAAACAGGAGAGTGGGCTCGCAGCAACAAAGAGAAGGCAAAAACATTTGCCATCCATCTAGAAAACGTCTTCAAGCCACACCCAGCAACAAATAGCTTTGTGCTCCCACCAACCAACAATCCCGAAGCTACTCCGCCTATCATATTCCAATCAGGAGAAGTCACAAGGGTCATTAAAGACCAAATCTCAAAGCAAAAGAAAGCTCCGGGCCACGATTTCATCTCCCCTAAAATGATCATAGAATTGTCGAGCTGTGCAGTATTTCCTTACTATGATATTCAACAGCATGATGAAATGGGGCTATTATCCTCAAGAATGGAGGAAATCAGTCATCACAATGATCCATAAAGCCGGAAAAGACAAGTCCAAGCCATCATCATATAGACCTTTCAGCCTACTGCCTTGCCTATCAAAGATATTTGAAAAGCTGCTCCTGAATCGTATCAAACAACACCTACACATCAACGGTGCCATCCTGACTCACCAATTTGGATTTCGCGAAAAACACGAAACCATTGCTAGCAGACTGGCGCATACACTTAAACGAGCAAAAGTGCAAGTATATCACCTTTACCCTAAACAGACAAACTTGTCCTCCATTATATCTGAACAACATCAACATTCCCAAAACCAGCGAAGTAACATACCTTGGTGTTCATCTGGATACTTACTTACTTGGCGTAAACACATCGAAGCGAAGAGAAATCTACTTAAATTTAAAGCTAGTAATCTACATTGGCTAATAAACACCCGTTCACAACTAAAACTGGAGTACAAAGTACTTTTGTACAATGCAGCTCTCGAACCCATCTGAACATACGCCTCCGAGCTATGGGGAAATGCTTGCGTTAGTAATTTAGAAATAATCCAGAGAGCTCAATCGAAGATATTAAAAACTATCACTGGGGCACCATGGTACATACGGAATGAAAATATCCATAAAGACTTAAATGTAGGATCAGTTAAAGATGAAATTGCCAAAGTGAAAGCAAAGTACCAGGCCAAGCTTCAAGCCCATCCTAATAGACTTGCACAGTCTTTAACTTGGCACACTAGCCATACACGACTCCGGCGAAGAGACCTTCCCACCCAGCAATAATACTTAGCTAGCGACGTACTCTAAGTAATTAAGTGTAATTAATTAAATAAATATATTAGGCTAAGATTTGTATACTTGTCGTAAGTCTCTAATAGTGAAGATTCGATAAATATAATATCCCGTAATAATAAAAAAAAAAAAACTTTTGCATTTGGCCACTCTTCGCTCATAATCATTGAGCAATTTCTTAACAACAAAATTTAAGTTTTTTGCCCGCTCAAGTAAAGTGTTCAATGACAACACTGGAAATTTTTTTTGTGGGGTCTTTCGTGACTGGTCTGGTCAAATCTTTGCATTATAAATTCAACAAATTTTAAAGAAAAATGAAAATCGCCGATTTTATAGCAAGAGATATTTTTAGTGGGAGGAAAATGCAAGAAGAACGAATAGAGCGCAGGATGTTACGAATGAAGTCAGACCCATTGTCTACTTCTGACTCTGTGGGCGTCAAAACGACCTTTTCTTTTCTTTTTTATTGTCTGGACGTTGATATGCAATGACTGCACAATCAAGTGGCCCATGCGACACCAAGCCGAAGCCTGTTACGCGCGGTACCGAGGCAGAAACGCAGCCCCTTCTTCCGACCAACCGACCGAGGTGCGCTGCCGCATGACGCGCGACGCGTGTTACCGAAGAGGAAATATAGGTTGTTGGAAGCTGCCGAGCTTTTTCGGCAACTCTGACTCCACATTTACAATAATTTACTCAGTTGGTTAAGTTTACAAATGTTTTTATTTGATCGACGGGTTACAAAGGTTTTGAGGCCGTGGCCGTGAACTACGACTCGATGCGTTCGACAAATATTTGGACTGCCACGAGAACAGGGCGAAGCAATGCACTATAAGCAGTACTGACATATGTGCGTGTGTACGGGAGCGTACTGAGAGAGCGATTTTTAGTATAAGAGATGATATATGACTATATGATATTAATTTGTTGAGATCTATTAACGGCTGCTGCTCCGAACATACTCCCTCCCGTTGAAAGACCAGGGGTTTTAACAGGATCCTCAACGGGTAGGACGCACAGCTTGTTGACAGCTCGACGAGTGGTTCCAGATGGTGTTCTCAGGATGGCAACCCGCACAGTGCCATCAGCTCCAGCAATGATGTCGATCACCCGTGCTAATGGCCACTTCAACGGCGGCAAGCTTTCGTCCTTGATACAAACGATGTCGTTGACTTGGTGCGCCATTTGGCACGTTGTTGGAGCAGAGTCAAATACTCCTCACTCCAACGTTTCCAAAAGATCTGCTGAGCACAGACGACTCTTTGCCAGCAATCTAGTCTGTTAAAGTTTAGATTTCGTAACGTCTGGCTCGGGAAACTCCATCAGCGGACGACCAATTAGAAAATGTCCTGGTGTAAGGACGCCAAGATCTTCAGGGTTATTTGAAATTGCGAGAAGAGGACGAGAATTTATTACAGCCTGGATTTGGGCGACCAATGTCCGCAGCTCGTCGAAGCCAAAGAGTGACGATTCCAGGGAACGATATAAATGCTGCTTGGCCATCTTCACTGCTGCCTCCCATAAGCCCCCGAAGTGGGGAGAGCGAGGCGGGATGAACTTCCAATTAAACCCATTGTTGATGCAATGATTATGAACTGCATCACGATGCTTCTCGCTCATAAACAGCCGCCGAAGGTCCTACCAACTCGTTCCTTGTGCCCACAAAATTGGTGGCATTGTCAGACCCGATGCATCGGGGTATGCCGCGCGTGGCAACGAAGTGTTTGAGGGCACTCAAAAATCCAGCAGCTGTGAGGTCCTTAACTTAGTCCAACCAAACGGCCTTTGTTGCAAAACAGATGAAGACGCTGAGGTAGCATTTTGTAGGCTGTTGTTCGAGTGCGCCCATCTGGCTTGTAATTGAAGGGACCGCAGTAGTCGATTCCAGTGACGCTGAATGCAGGCGAATCATGCACTCGATCCTTCGGTAGGTCAGCCATTATGTGCTCCACAAGGACGAGGTCTGGACCTGCAGCAGATGATGCATTTCCGCAACGCTCGAGCAACAGTTTTCATGCCGCCGATGGGCCAGAACTGCAAGCGAATCGATCCCAGTAGAGACTGCGGACCAGCATGGTGATGCTTCCGATGAAAGTGCATGATGATGGCGAACGTCAATGGATGATCCCTGGGCAAAATGATTAGGTGGCGTGCCTCGAAGCCAAGAGTTGAGTGCCGTAAGCGACCACCAACACGAATTAAACCAACGTCATCTATGAAAGGCGAGAGAGATATAGTGCTGCTGGAGAACTCCACAAAGTTCCCCATCCGCAGAGCACGGTACTCAGGATACAGGTGGGCCCGTTGAATGATGCGACACAACAAATGCGATCCATTTCGAAGGTCTTCAGACGAGAGATCAGGTGACATTTTCTTACTGATGAACTTATGAACATACCCAAAAATGCGCATCATGACTCCGAATGAGTTTATGTGCTTAAACGAAAGCAGGATGTCGACACGCTCAGACGACAGCAATACTCGTTATCTAATTTCCTGAAGACTGAGTTCGGGCGAACAACGTTCAGGCCAGGTACTTCTTTCGCCTTGCAAGAAGGAAGGTCCATTCATCCACAAACTAGACTGCATGAGCTCCTGAGGTGCTGATCCCTTTGACAAAATGCCAGCCGGGTTCATTTCAGTTGGGACATAGCGCCAATCTATGCCCCTCGTAAGTTGCTGTATTGCAGAAATCTTGTCAGACACGAACACGTTGAATTTGGATGGTTCCTAGCGCAACCAAAACAGTACCACAGCTGAATCTGACCAGCAATGGATCGGGCAATCGAAGGTATCAATTTTTTTTAATTTCGCGAAGTAAATTGGCTAATAGGAACGCTGCACATAGCTCAAGGCTCTAGCTTTCGAGCAAAGCAAATTTACCTCATCGGCGGTATCCTTAAATGAACGAGCATAGAAACAAGCACCATAGGCCTGGAAGCTGGCATCACAAAAGGCGTGCAATTCAAACCTTGCCTTAGCTTGAAGTATGCAACGCGGAAATGTAGCGTGACCCACAGTAGCGAAGTCCTTGCAAAACTGAGCCCAAGCCGATTCCAGTGGCTGAGGAAGACTTTCATCCCAATGCAGCTTGTCCCTTCAAATGCGCTACATGATGACTTTCTCTCTTGTCAATGTGGGTCCAATCAATCCCATAGGATCATAGTTGACAACACCGAACGCTTAGTGTGCTTGCCCACACCGATTTGAGGTGCAAAAGTAAACAAGAACTTGTCCTTATGGGGTTCCAAGATGAGTCCAAGCGCCTTGGTCACATCGCTGCCATCATCGAGCTTCAGAAAACTTTCCCTTTCTGCCTCAGGCACTTCACGAAGAACATCAGGAGAGTTGGAACACCATTTACTTAATTGAAAATTGCCACAAGCAAGAAGATCCGTGGTTTGACGCATAATATCCAGCACTTCCTCGACTGAAGAATGGTCCTGTAGAATGGTTTCCGAACCAAATAGACACGAAGACGACTCATCCATGGCCAGCTAATGCATAGCTCGAATAGCTAAAAACGAAGCAGGCTTAGTCCCATAGGTGACAGTGTTTAGCTTGAAGATCTGTAAATGGTCGTCAACAGAATCCCTCCACAATGTGAATTGGAGCATGGTGTCGGGCATTAAGACACGCACGCACCTATACATTTTACCGATATCGCCTGTAAGAGCAATGGAAAATGTACGAAATCGAAGGAGAGAGTGTGAAACAGCTTGGCTTGAATGGTGGGACCTGAAATAAGCAGATCATTCAACGAGAGACCAGCTGTGGTAACTGCAGAGCCGTCGAATACGACTCTCAGCTTTGTCGTGGAGCTGTCCTCTTTAATGACGCAATGATGCGGAAAGAAATATCTGCACTTGTATCTATCTTCATTTGGCACCAGAGACATAGGATCAAGGGACAGGTACTCCTTCATAAATGCCGAATATTTCATATATAGAGTTGGACTACGAACGAACTTGCGCTCCAAATTTTCCAACTGTCGCTTTGCTTGCAAGTAGGAATCGCCCAAGGACTCCAGACTTCGCTTTATGGGCAAGCTAACGGAATATTCCCCTGAGGGTAATCGAGTGTGATGGTTGACAAAGTGGTCCTCGCAGTGCAGTTCCTCCTTTGTTGCCCTAGCGATTGGCTCAAAGATGTGCTCGACTTCCCAAAATTGACGAACCAACTCATCGAGCCGAGTGCTGTGATTGGTGTCATCCGAAGATTGGGTTGCGATGAACGACGAGTTATTGAAGGTTGAGTGCCCGCCACCAGAAAGAACCCATCCCAGCTGTGTCTTCTGCAGCAACGGTAGTTCAGGCGCCAGCTGAATTTGCCCCACACACAGCAACTCGAAGAAAAGTCCGGCTCCGATGAGCAGGTCAATCCGCTGCGGCTTATGGAACGAAGGGTCAGCAAACTGGATATTCAAAGGTATAGGCCAATTAGCTGTGCTAACTGTGATGCTAGGTTGATGGTCCGTGATCTTCTGGGCAAGGACGGCACTGATGCTAGTGGTGAACTCTGAAATCCGCGATTTCAGAACAAGATCCACCGAGATACCTTCTGTTGGGAAGCTAGCATCTCCTATGCCAGAGACAGCGGTAAGCGATTTGGTTGTTCGAAGTTTTAGCTGATTAGCTAGACGACTAGTTATGAAATGCAATTGCGATCTCGAAAGTTCCAACGCTGTTTTTTATGAGAACGACGGCGGTGGCTAAAAGCACAGCATCAGATGGACTGTGAGACATAAAAGCTTGCGGCAAGGAGGGCGATAATGCAACCATGGCGTTACGACTTGGTTGTGCTGGTGAGGCTTCAATGGGAGGCGCAGATTGGGCAGCCTCTGTTGGACGAATGAAATCTCAAAGATTGTGGTGCTTCGATCGGCAAGTGCGGCAGGGACCAGATCTACAATCTCTCAATTGATGGCCTTTTCGTAGGCAATTTAGGCATAGCAAGAGCCTCTTGGCTTCCAGGCGACGATCATTCGGCGATAGAATTGCAAACCGTTGACAATTGGCAATCATGTGATGAGTACTCTCGCACAGTTCACAAGAAACTGGAGTGGTCGATGCTACAAATGTCTTTCTTTGATGCGTACTCACGGTTTTTCCTGACTTGCCAACTTGACCATCTTGTCCTTGCATGGATTGATCCACATTTTCAAGCATTCGACACAACTCAAAGAGCTAAACATGCAAAGATAGCTAAGAAAGCAGAGGAAGGGAACTAATGGTGGATATTATAAGGTAGAGCGAATTATAATCCGAGCATAAGACCCTAAACGGTTCATGCAATGAATACTTTGATCTACAAAGTGGAAGGAACAAAGGAATAAAGTTTCGAGTAGAACAAGTCAGGGCTATCTACGTCATCCTTGATCAGGTTGTGCATAAAAATCACACTAAGCATTTTTCTACGACTAACTAAGGTTGGAAGGTTTATTAAAAGCAATCTACGAGGGGAAGATGGCGTTATTCAGTTTTTCTGGACTGATTCTATACGATCCTGGTGTACTTTGTACTGGGGGCACCATACACAAGAGCCGTACTCTAAAATCGGACGAACAAGCGAGATATAGAGAGTCTTCGTTATATAGGGATCGTCAAACTTCTTTGACCACCTTTTGATAAACCCAAGCATGGCCTTATTTACCATGGTAGAAATGTGTTCAGAAAACTTTAACTTGGGGTCTAGCTTAACACAAAGATCATCAACCAAGGTAATTCTCTCAAGAGAACCACCGCAGAGGCTATAAGGAGCCAAAAAGGGGCTGGAGCGATGAAATGTCATTACTTTGCATTTCGAGTCATTTAGGTGTAACATATTTGCACAACATCATGACTGAAAGAACCGCGGAAGAACCAACAGAAATTTAATTTCTTCACTCCGGCTATGATTATGATCCGATCTAATTCAGATTCGGCAATCTGGTAGATATGGGCATTCTCTACGATACTGCGCTTTATCGTTTTATAGTTTTATCGTATCTTTAAAAATGTGCATGCCACAGATTTTTGTTTTTTGTGAGGGCGGAAGGGGGCGGGGCGAAATTTTGAAATACACTTGTAGCAGTGTGATATCACATGAGCCTGGAAACCAAATTTGGTTGCCCTAGCTGGTATAGTCTCTGAGATCTAGGCGCTCAAAAAGACGGACAGACAGACAGACGGACAGACAGAAATATCGACTCGGCTATTGATTCTGATCAAGAATATATATACTTTATCGGGTCGGAAACGTTTCCTTCTCCGCGTTACACACTCTCCTCTTCTCCACACTCTTCTCGCTCGCGCACTCTGCCTTCTTTAGTGCGCGAGCGACCTCTAGCGGAGAAGATGTAGAATCTAAATGGTACATGTACAACCTACATGTTAGATGCAGAATATACATTGTAGATGTAGGTAACAGATGTAGCAAAAAAATATACAATGTAACATTTTTTTAAATCTATATATATAAAAGAAAGTAGTGTCTGTTACAACACTTATAACTCGAGAACGGCTGGACCGATTGCCATGGTTTTTGATTTGTTGGATTTGTTTCCGTCCCGAATAGCAGAATACATCTTAAAAACTCGATATGCGCAATGAATAGATGCATTTCAATAGATTTTGATTTTTTTATTACAAATATCGAGTTTTCATTGATTTTCTTTCTCCATGTCAAACATTTGTTGTCCAATCCTGTCAAATAGTCAAATTCCCGAAAATAATACCTAAGATTTATTCTACAGTATTCTACATAAAATCATCGGAAAGGAACGGAATTTAGGGAATAAAAAATCAGTTTGGTGGTTTTATGCGAGTGCACATTTTAATAACAATGCCGCGTCCTAGAAGATCTAATCTTTCCCAGCGAAGCCGTAATGCAATAGTATGGAGCAAAGAAGGGCCTTAATTCGTGCTTCTCAAAGACAAGAGCAAAGAGAGGCAGCCCTTGAAACGGCTAGGTTAGAAAGGAGAAATCGTCGAGCTTATCGTACAGATGAACAGAGGAACAATCTTCGCAGTGCAAGAAGAAATGGTTCAAGTATTGATTTGAATCGAGCAGCGTTTCTGTATGATTGCACCATCGACTACAGCTTGCATCGTTTAGTTTGCATTGGTCCAATGGACGTTGTTTGCCAGCATTGTGGAGCATTGAAGTTTGCTGGTGAAACGCCTGGTTTGTGCTGCCTTAGTGGTAAAGTTAAATTGCCATTATTGGTCCCGCCACCAGACGATACTCATTGGGACACGACAATCGCTGAAGCAATTATTTCTGCATCTCCAAGTCAGATTCGCACATTATTTGCTATCATCATTTCAACATTCTTCCCATCGAACCCACGTGACCTGTGGAACAAATACAAAGATAACATGTCAGAAGATATTTTATATCGAATTCGAGTCAGCTCAAGAAAATACGATCTTGAGGTGAATGAGGAGATCCATAACCAGACTTTGCTCTTGATCGAAGATATGTGTTACCCCATGTGCGGCAGTTTGTTAGTTAGGTTAGGAATGCCAGCGCCAGATCGCGGAATGAATGACGAATTTAATAGAGAATTGGAACGTGAACGTGAATATGATCCACATGAACTAATCCAATCAGTTCAAACGAATGTACCTCTGTTGAATCCTAAGCAGAGGGAAGTCTATGATACACTGATTAATGCAATTGATGATGGAAATGGCGGCTTATTTTTTTTGGATGCCCCCGGTGGAACTGGGAAGACATTCCTCATGTCATTGATTTTGGCCACTGTACGTGCTAGATCCGAAATTGCGGTAGCAATTGCTTCTTCTGGAATAGCGGCCACATTGTTAGACGGATGCCGTACGGCTCACTCAGCGTTAAAATTGCCATTAAACCTTCAAACTACTGAACAACCGACATGTAACATTTCGAAACACTCCGCAATGGCCAAAGTTTAAGTAGCATCAAAAATCATCATATGGGACGAATGCACAATGGCGCACAAACGCGCATTGGAAGCACTAGACCGAACATTAAAAGATCTGCGAAATGACTCGAGATGTTTTGGAGGTGCAATGATTTTATTATCTGGCGATTTCCGACAAACACTACCAGTCATTCCAAGATCTACTTACGGATGCTTTTACTTAGGCTTGTGGCGCGGGGATAAGCGGGACGGATCAGAGCTGTTGGCGGGGATAAATTCGATGAAACGAAATGAACTGTGCGAGACGAAGTTAATTTTACGACTCGTTTATTTCCACTCATAGCTTGTCGGCTATGCTGCGGGCGTGTAAACATGTTGCTACTATTAATTTATAGTGGTGGTACTTCTTAGGCTACAATTGTGGTACTTCATAACTTGAATTATCTATCTATTAACTATTATTCTCGGCTACCATATTGTGTAGCGACATTCCGGCCGCCTTGAACGACCGTACGTCGGGCGTCAACTGTAGTGTTCAGCTTTGGGCCGTGAGTGGAAGTCAGAGTCTATTTAGGCTCTAACCCAGCCATTGCCATAGATGGTATTTCTGACTCCATGCTAATAGGAAGCTAGGTTCGAAGGCACGCATTCTTGCTGTGCTCGGGTCCAGCTCGTCGGATTGGTCGGGGTTCTTTCTCCCCTAGCTACACAGTTTTACTGACACAAATCAATATAATGCGCTTCGAGAATCATACACAGAATCTATACGTTAATAACAAACCAAAACAAAAATAATAAGCTGATTACAAATCTGCGCCGATACGCATTTAGGAAGCTGGTAGAAGAGATATAGTTCTTCTTTCGTCTGATAAGGGAACAGTGGTGGTAAATGTCCCTAGTCCTTGCCGGGAACCATGACAACTGCCTGTACTTTTGTGCGTTGTCCCAATTCCAAGATCCTACATATTCTACAGCGTCTTGCGAGAGATAAGCATAAGTACTTGACGGACGGAGATAATACTTAGTTTAGGCAGACATATTCATGAATAATAATTCATAATTTTAATTGATTAACAGAATAAGATATGAATAATAATAATAGAATATATAGATACAGAATTACATAGCTAATACAATTCTTTACTTTACATACAAACAATTACCGCGTAACTTCTTCTTCAAAATAATTACTTGAGCATTAGAGGGGAATGTACACTTCAAATCAGTATATATATATATATCGTAACTGATCTACATCTGCATTGGCATATCTACATTGTGGTTTCAGCCACTAGTTGTACTCACAGTAGTTGTTAAATACTCATCGATGTATCGTTGGGCCCAAGATGACTTTGATGGCTTCAGGTATATAAGCTGTGTAATTTAGAAGTTGGTCAGGTTACATTCACATATATATAAAGAGAATTATATTATTCCAAACTCATATTGCTCAGTTTCCCAAATCTTCAGTTACCTTACGGATTTTTCCATTAGAAGAAGTTATATAGTTAATACAATAGTTAAGACAATATTATATAATAAACGAGACAAGAATATGAAACTATAAACAGCGGTGCCTTAGGGCAGCAGCGAATATCTTTTTATATGATGCTGATAAGGGTGAACTTGAACTTGAAATTTCACTATAGAAGCATAGGAAACAAAACAAACAATAATTAGTGATTGATGTATGTAAGAAACAGAGGTTCTGATGCAATGTGGTATTGGCTAGCCTGATTACTTAATCTTTTGTATTTTTGGGGTATGTTGGTGATGATTAAGTCCTCCGGAATTCGGAATTCGCAGGTGGGGACAGCCTTCTCTTAGTCTTGTTCATACCCAGAAAAGGTATATGTGTAGTGTGGTCTTCGACAAAACTGGGAATGCTGGCCGATAATGGGTCTAGACCAGAGTTCCGCAAAGCGTGTGCCGCGGCACACTGGTGTACCGTGGTCATCGGCTGGTGTGCCGCGGAAAAAATATTAAATAAGAATACAGAGAATATAGTTAATTTATTATTCAACCAGTCAATCACAACTCTTGTACGAATAGTAACTAACAGTTAATTTGAATACAAATTATATTAAGAACATGACTTTAAATAGGAACAATTTTTATTAGGGTATTCATGTCAATAAGTAATGATATTTGAAATACATACGTATTCAAGCATGCATAAGTATGCATGTATGTATATGTGCTCAGCAAACGAGCTGCCTGATATTTTGATTACCGAAACTAGAGTTGGGGCACGAAAATACTTTTGGTATTTA